TAATTGCCGTGGGCAAATGTCAACCGCTGATGTACCGAATAAAATGCTACGTTATAAATTAAAATCACGTCAAAATGACACTGGAAATAAAAATTAATCTCACGAAACGTTACACTGAATTAGAGAAAAATATGAATATGTCTACTTATCCCTATTTATAAAGGAGAAACTAAGACATTATTCACTCGTTACATTATCCTCTTAACAATACAGACCTGAGTCCATAGTATAGTTCTGAAAAATTAGGCGCGTATATATAAGCGAACAGTCGTTTGATTATATCACCCAAAGGTCTCCCCATTATATATAATTTATCTAATCAATGTGATTTGTAAGTCATTAACAGTACAGAGATGAATATTATGATCAGAATAATTAGGATAGGAAGATTAAGAAACATACATTTCTAAGTAGCGAGAATATTGAATCAAAACCACTGTGATCATTTTATTCAGAACTTAATAAACTCTGGATATGTTTTATCCCGATGAATTATATAATTGTCTTGATAATGTTAACCGAACATCCACACCCACTCTATCATAAGTGAAAAACTTTTCATTCCTTCCCGTATACTCACTGTCTCCTGGTATCCCATAAAATTGACTGTTCTAAAAATGAACTTATTGCTTATTACTATATTAAGAAAAATGTAAAAAGGGAACAACTTGTGCGAAAATTACCTTTTTTGATCATGAGCTATAATAATCAAACAAGCACAAGTGAAATTGTTTCAAAATTGGACGCTGACACAGAAATGTGGCCCTGACCATCCAGTTACTGATAACGCTCCCATCGATGAAAGCGTTGGAAAACGATAACAGAGATTTCTAACAAGAAAATATATGTGATTCATGGTTCCCACTTTCATCAGAATCAGAAACCATACATGTAATGTGTGTGTTGGCAAAGAGTTCGTAGTGTAGCAAGGATAAACGGATATGATATTCAAAAAAAGTGAATTGAGCAATCTAATAAGACGTTTTCCTGAAGGGTTTTAATAAAATGAATGTCCGACCGTCAATCATGCCGAATTCCCAGAAGCATACTGGCTAATCGTTAGTGGGAATCTGGATTACAATCATGAATACAATTTTCTATGCATGGATCCCACAGCTGACTAACGCGGTATTTAAAAGTGTCTAGCCTCTGCTTATTTCTGGGATGGTTGCAAACAATTGTCGAACAATCAGTTGAGTGTAACTCGTCACTATACATCAAATTCATTGACTATGAGAAGGCGTTTGACAGTGTAAATAGGAGAACCCTATGTAAACTTCCTCAACACTATGGAGTTCCCAAAAAGATTGTCAACATCATACAGGACTCATATGACGGACTCTAGTGCAAAGTCATGCATGGAGGACAGTTGACAGATGCATTCCAATTAAGGACCGGATTCAGACAGGGCTGTCTACTCTCTCCCTTCCTCTTTCTTCTAGTAGTTGACTGGATTATGAAGATCTTAATATCTGAGGGAAAACACAGAATACAATGTACAACTCAGAACCAATTGGACGATTTGGACTTCGCAGATCACCTAGCCCTTCTATCTCATACACACTAACAAATTCAGGCCAAGAAAACCACTGTTACAGAAGCCTCTGCATCAGTAGACCTCAACATACACAAAGGAAAAACCAAGATACTCAAATACAACAAGGAGAATACCAAACCAGTCACACTTGATGGAGAGGCTCTGGATAACATTACCGATGAACCAGGAGGATCGGATGCAGACATAAAGGAGAGGATTGGCAAAGCAAGGAGAGCATTCCTACAGTTGAAGAACGTATGGAACTCAAAACAATTGTCAACCAATATCAAAGTCAGATTCTTTAAACGAAAGTCGAGACAGTTCTACTCTAGGGAGCTGAAACTTGGAGGATTACTACTACCATCATCAAAAATGTACAAGCATTTATAAACAATTTTCTACACATGATATTCTTCGTTCGTTGACCGGATACCATTAGCAACAGCTTACTTTGGGAGAGAACAAACCAGTTCCCAACTGAAGGGGAAATTTGGAAAAGGCGTTGGAAGTGGATAAGACATAGATTGCGGAAATCATCAAAATGCATCATGAGACAAGCGCTAACTTGGAATCCTGAAGGGAAGCGGAAAAGAGGAAGGCCGAAGAATAGATTACGTCGGAAAATAGAAGCAGATATGAAAAGGATGAATAACAACTGGAAAGTATTGCTCAGGATAGGGTTGGATGGAGAGTGCTGATGGGCGGCCTACGCTCCTCCACGAGTAGCACGCGTAATTAAGTAAGCACACAATGTATTCAACCCGGCACACTCGTCAGATTGGGAACGATTATTTACGCCGAGCGGCTATAAAGTGAGGTTAGAAGTGTTTCAGCAGGCTAGTCTTCTAGATACGTATTGTGTATATTTGCATGAATGATATGAGAAGAGTTATTAAACACTTCGAATTCACACCACTTGCCTTGGCGGATGTTGAGAACACCATTTGGATAAAGATAAGGATTTTCGACGATTTTTTCTTCTCAATTTCCGACCAAATTATTTAACTACTCGTGACCTGGATGTAGTTAACTAGTTTTGATGAAACGTACAAAATCAACGACGAGAGTCTGTTTTAATATCAAAACGTGCCACTCAGCATAAATCTTTCGTGTTCATCTGTTGAATAATTTCTGCCTTAATATTCAGTCAGTCAAATGCAGCGTAGAAACTGGTATATGTGCACATCGGTTTGAGTTCTCGAGGAGTCAACTAATGAAAGAAATGTGCCCAGGATGGTTATAGATGACTTACTCCCAGCAGCTGCAACAATAACGGAAGTTTATCCGAACTCGTATAACCTTTCATGATGAGTACACCTAGACTATAACGTCATTAAAAGGATATGTTACTCAATGAATTATCTTCAACTTTACACAAAACTGTAGAGGCTGCGATTGGAGGTTATTTAGTTGTTCTTCCGTTTGATGTACACGAAAAACGTAAACGAGTGAACAGAATACTTTTTGAACTTATCACTGACAGAAGCCACGAACGCATCGATTTATTGTTATCTGCTACCAATTATTACTAAAACAACATGAATGGTTAAATGCATTTCTGACAGCTAACCAATCTATTGGACAATTAAATACCAACTTTTTGGAAGTCGATGCACCGGATCCCACAAAGTGGCAAGAAGCATTCCCCTTTTCAGTGTGCTTTATACACTTTATGGACTAGATACAATCTCGAGTTTAAAAATACTTTACAAACTGCAGTGACAAAACTACGACCGAACATCAAACTCCATTCCTTGTTTAGAAGAAGCACTGATACTTGCAGCGTGTCAGTTATTGAACCATCATCTACATCTACCCATAACAGAAGTCATTGCATCTGTCAATATGTCCAACGTTATTAATGCTACAGAAACTTTCAGTGTATCGTATGATCCGTTAAACTGCCTTTCCCTCTTTGAGACCGAATATGGATAATAAGAAATGGAGATGTGTGGAATTACAATTATCACAACTATCAAGTGAACATGGATATGGGTTTTACACCAATTCATCGAAAAGAGAAACACGTAGAATTGATCAACTAGAAAGAGTTCTGTGGCAAGGACGACAAAGATAACGAAACAAGTACCTCTCCACGGCAACTTACGACCCAATTTACAAGTCTAATTAAATCATTTTATATGACTAGACATTTAGTTCCATCTACATGCGATTGGTAATAATAAAAGTATTCTTACATTTCATATCACTATTGAATACTGACGAGTATTGACATAAGCATATCTTGTTTAATAGTTGAAGGACAATCATCACTGGTTTACCTTTTTCATTGATTAAGCAGATTTGATGTTTCACGGAAATTGAATCGGCTAATATAATTTTTTGAATGAAATGACTTTCGAATGTAAGAACTATTAGTGTCAGCATCTAATTAGAAGTACTTAACACTACATGGATTTTAACTAATCAGATTACAGTAATAAATTATCTAGTCAACTAAATAATTCAAAAACATGAAGTGTGTACCTGAACACAGCGAGAATTCGTTTTCAAACAAATCGGCCAATTATTTTCTCAAATATATACAATTACTCCCTTAGAATTTATCAGTACGGATCAAGAACCTAAATTCCTGAGGCCTTATTGTCAGACCTAGGTTTTAATGACTTTTAGCTGTCAGTCCTTAATGAAAATTATCTGTAAAAAATAACTGTTCATTTATACATTCTATTTTGTCAGCAAGCCCTTACAATAAAAATTGTATTAGATGATCAACAGACAACTCCTTTGTAGGATGAATCGAAAATATTAATGAAATTTGGTATTATAGTAAAAAAATAAACCATTATTGGTTTAAGCTTGAAAGCAATTAGCAATCGGAATCCCTAGATTGTTTAAAACAATGAAATCTCGTAAAAAGGCATACAATACGTCAGCTTAACTTATTTCGCTGAGATGATATTTGAACGCTAAGCTAACTTGGTTTTATACATAAAACAAAAGACTAAAAACTTTCAAATCACTTAAAAGGACGATTTTTGCCGAAAAATTGCCTATTCTTCTGAACATGTGACAGGTTCTTCCACATTAGTCTCTTGTATAGTAACAGGGGCAACTGCGATATATACATGCGACGCTGAGAGGACGAAATACTTTGTGAACCTAATTTCCATTGTTTATAGGGAAGAAGAATGCTGAAATATATTCGCCAACTCATATTAGTAATTCAACCGTAGTATCTGAAGGGAACAGAAAGACCACATAAAAAATTCGTAAACAGTGATTTACATAATTTGTAGAACTCAAATATCTACAACTTAGACTTAATATCGTTTCCGTGGCATTATCTCCTAATATTTGTGGTCACTGCAACACACAAGCAAGTGCAAATAATCAGCTTTCTTGAACCGGTACAAATACTAATGAAGAAGTAATAATATTAATATTTAGACTAGAAGCGGCTAAAGTTATTGCATAGACGTTAGTAAGACCTAAAACTCACCCGTCGCATATCTTTTTAACACGAGTTCGAAGCTGATCACCCTGAAAGAATACCAAAAATACGGATTTGTGGACTGGCATACCCTGCAAAAGACAAACACAAGCAAAACCACACCTGAACATAATGTCTAAGGATAGGTTTAGCACGCTAAGAACTTACTAGAACATAGAAACAAGCCTAGTTCAGCAAAGAGGCCATCTTTCAATGAATTTATTCTTGAAACGGCGAGACTATAATCTATGGACGACCTTTGAGTGACGTTGAAGTGACCTTGAGAATGGACATCTACTTATTAAGACTAAGCGAGGGTTATAAAGTAGTTAAAATTCTCATTTACAATTGATTAAAATTAATAATTAGATTTAGGATTTTGATCACGAACTGACATCAGTTATAATGCTAAAACTCTATCTAGCCAAATGTATGGATGAATTAAGCGCCGAAATTCGTGACTCGTTATCTTATATCTGATTGGTCCCTCCATAAACTATAGTCTCGCCGATTAGGCCTAACAGTCAAATCTTAATCGATTGGAAAATAAGTGACCTAAAAGCTAATTTCCTTCAATTGCCTATGACATTTTTTCATGTTTCTTTTGTGTTCATATTTTGTACATGAACATGTTACTTTATTATATGAAAAACTGCTCATATGACTGACGGTGTTTAATTATCCATATATTCAAGTCAATAATACGGTCTCGTGAGTAGTCATCACTCGGCCACATTGTATGATTGCGTTCATATATCGATTAGAATCCTATTCACTGACTTAAATGACGCGAAATTTCGCCTAATCAAACCACATAAAACTTTTGATTCATAACACAATTTCTTTTATTTTTGATAGAGATAATAATAAGAACGGAGTAAGAAATTTCAGATGTATAAGTTCATCTACGCTCCAATTTATATGAAATTTGTTTAAAAAACTTAATATGTACTTGCGTTTATAATTTATAAGATTGTTTCTCCTGAAAAGGCGATAGATGATTTGTGCTAGAAATATGAACTGAACGTTCGTGCACTGTAAAAAGTTGCAACGCTTTACCCACAAAGTAACAATTAGAAATCGAAAATCACAGGCATCTGAGATCGCTTTCGCATACTAGACAAAAATGATATGTAATAAACTATAGGTTAAAATCCAATAAACTATTCTTATTAGTGACTTCATGAAGTTCAAAAAACTTTCTGAACCAGCTACAAAATTAGTAATGTTAATGCTTAATTCATGCCATCTAATGAGACATATAACTGTATGATATGGACAAAGGTGCCAAGATCGAAATTATTTCTATTCACATTAGCACACTGAGAGGAAATTGACAAGATGAGAGTCAAATTTAGACTCATATATATGCACAAACGTACAGCAGTTATCACTGTTGCCAGAAATCTATCCCTAAAAAGTATTTAGACACAAAGAACAAAGTACTAGTTTATGACTGTGAGCTACAGTAGCCTGAAAAAAGACCTTAATGCAGATCGAGTCAGAAAACCAAAAATGGATGGGAAAATTTTTCACCTAACGTGGTCCATAAATCGTTAAATATATGCAACATTTCCGGTTCTCATATCTATGGATAGCACAAAACTCAAGAAATGAAACACATCGCAGAAAGCAACGGGTCATGCACTGCTCATAAAAAATATCCACTTATGTGCGATAAGCTAACAACTTTGTTACTGAAACATGAATATTAATACTTGGACAATGTTGTGATGGTAGTATGTAAAGGTTTACGACATATGCTTTCCTAACTCTTATGGCAGAAATTAATCACTAAATTTTTATTAGAAAACCCATCAACATAACTACGTATTGCTTTACTCACCGTTGTTAGATCTTCTAATGGGTCATCAACTTCTGCTTGCTTAAGGAAAACATTTCCTCGACACACCCGCCACAGCATACGCTCAAAAGCCGGTAACCGTTCACGAAGGATAATCCCAGCAAGAAACCTAATTTTGAAAAAGTTGATTTGTCATTTGTATGTTATAATCGTGATTTGTTTGAAAGCTACTGTGCGAAACGTGGTTATGTGAATATAAAAACTAGAAATGCAAAAGGTGGAATTCCTGAACAAGAACTAACAGACCCATTTGCTATCATGATTTTCAATCATTCCCAAGGCTTCATCCAAACAAATGTGATACCTCAGACGACTTCCATGAAATCTTGACCCACTGCTGAAATAATCCCTAATAACGTCTTTCGAATTCGTAGTTAGTGAGACCGTTTAGTTCTTCCTTACATATAATTTCGTTATATTTTATTACTTTTAATTTGACTCGAATTCACCAAATGTAATAACTGGGAAGGAAGGGGACAGAGTGCTGTGAAATCAGACTCAGTGACTGAAAACTCGAGATGTGACAGGTTACTAATGGGTTTATTCCCATGTAATCGCTATAGAACTATTCTAGGAAATGTAAAATGGAGTGATATGGGGGTAGCGTAACAATCGTAAGGAAGGTTTGAATAATTTGCATATATTTCGAAAAACGAGCGAGAACTACATGATTAATTCGTGAGTACTAGGGAGTGCATGAGGTAATGAATGGCTAAAATTTCAACAAAAATAAATCAATAGGGCAATTAGAAAACCAAATTACTATAATATTGCTTAGTAACTAATTAAAAAATAGAGGATATGATTCAAACCAATTTGATTTAAGGATCATGAAACTTTTAAGACCAATGGTTTCCAAAGTATGCTCAAAAAATGAGTACATACACCCTAGCTTTTGCTGTTTCAATATTTTGAAAAATGAATTTGGAGATAATATGAGAGAATTTCGGGATATTTTAGACGGCAATCCGTTTGGTGGATAGTGACAATTTGAACCACAAAATAGGTAGTCTTTAGTGGTATTTATTTTCTCCAGATTGACTGATCTCACCACTCTTAAAACCAAGGTGCAAAGAATACACATATTTTAGTTATACCAGCTTTGAAGTAGATAACATGTATATAAGAATACTTACTCTCCATAGGATAAATCGGCGATTAGTTCCAATGGTTATATGTGAACTTAGGGCTGACAATCGAGTTTTCGGGCCTAGGGATACACAGTGGATAATTTCTAGAAATGTTTTGTGTTACCACTGTAGTTTAGTTTATGGTCTAGTTTCTGTTTGCACATACTCAATATAACGAACACTAGTTCAGTTTGTAAAAATCTAAACATACAGTTCCAGTGGTGCACTAACGTATCGGTCCACAAAATTGACCAAGCATATAACCATACTTGTTTTCACAAGTGTTTGTATTTAAACTACTGAATTGGTATTTCTAAGGCCGGACACAAAAATTAACGTACGGAGTGTAAGTTGATAGATAAGATTGTTAATTGAAATTGATTAGATGAGATATAGGAAACAAACCATAAATCAACAAAGCATTTGTGAGTATTAGTAGGGAGTTACATTCAATAGGTTCCTAGAGTTGATAGGTGATTTCCGGGATTTGTATACTCACTCTACATGACGTTTGTTACTGTTAGTATGAACTGTAACATCCCTTTCCGAATAATTATGATTGGGATCATTCATTGGGTTTAAGTCTAGATGAGATTCTACGTTGGCCTAAAAATCACAAACAGATTAGTAAGCAAAATATACATAACGCGAATATAAAAGCTGTAACTTACCCCAGTCGTAATCCACCAGCAGTGCCAGCAGCACCCATTGCTTCACCGCCAAGGAGTCCAACATTTTCTTCTGACATTGCAGGATCGTGCAGAGCCTGTTCGCGATTCAGTCGACGAAGGGGCAAATCATTGGAAGGTATGGTCAGACGTTCAATCGGTAAATCTTGGCACTAATTTATTCACAGCAGTACAACACCGAAGTCGGACAAACCGACAAAAGGACCAGACAACGGCTGAGGCAATTAGGTATAACCACATGCAATACAAGGAAAAGAGCAACGGACAACCTGCCGATGTCTAAGGTAGCCTACGCCTGAGTGTGAATGGTAACCGTAACAATTTAGTCACGCTCAACAACGCCGCAAAGGCGATCAACTGTGTGACAATTAAGGATACCACACGGTTTTAGTTTGAAACCATAATTGGTAGTCTGTGCTAAACTCAGGCCTGACATTCTTAACCATTACAACCTTCAACAGATATTGCTTACTTTCTTCAGTTATAAACGAGCAATCGCTAGATTGTCATCATGGCAGGTATAGCGTAAGAACACTGTAGTTCAACGTTACCGTCCTATACAGAGTTCGACCCAAAACCTGCATAACTACCGTCATAATTTCTCTTATTTCGACCCAACCACTCTTATTGCTAAATAATCTCAGACACTACTTGACAAGTCCTCAAATCCGAGCATGGTTGAACAGGAACGTAATTAAACTCCAAATAAAAAAGTTGGATGGAAGTAGGAATCACGGCAAGAAAAGCGTCAGTATATTTAAGATTTTTACATAAGATTTTAGAGTCTTCTCCGAGTCTCCGCTAGCATTGGTTAGTTAGGAAAAAACCAACCAGGGTGCCCCATTACAGTACTATACAGGATATGCTTTAATCCAATCTATATCCCGATAACAGCTATCGACAACTGTGTAACTTGAAGTATACCAATCAAGTCTTCATTGATAATGAGCAGTCAGGCTTTCTGACTTAATAAATTTTAGTTAAGTGAATGAAAAGAAATAAGCCACAACAATGTGTACTATAGATTGCCAGAAATTACTTAGACAACTGAAATGCAGTTGGATTCTGCAGCCAACCGTGTGAAATTCTAGTACTTTCACCACTTGTTACATTTTTCTACTTTGGCAAAATGAACATTCAGCTTCCCTTGTAAACTGATTTACCATTACCATTATAAGTCGCTGTTTGTAAGCTGATTTAATGTGCTAAATAGTCTATCTTATTAGCTAATCGGAAATAAAGCTGATAAAACCGATTACCATAGTTTGTCACCAGTAACGAATGGAAAACGGAAAGGTGAACCATTCCAAAACTTAAAAACTAGCACAATAAGTTAGGAAAGGAACTAGTGAAGTCATGGAGAACTCCCCACAATACACTTCAAAAAACTGTGATGAACGAGTTACGGATCAAAAGAAAGTCTAAACATTCGTAATTTTCAGATATCTGCACTGTATGGACAAATGCATGAGAACTAACACTTAGATTAATGGAAGTAGGACAGGCCTACCCTAGTAACTAAACTTATGATCATAAATGCCGAAAAAAGCTTATAGTTAATCGACAGGTGATGAATAACCAGTTGGTTAGTACAATCTGTTACCCACAATGAAGTAGGACTAGCAAATGATATGAGTATTACGCGTAAACTCATCAAATCGCCAGGCCGGGAAGAAATAGAGGTTAGTCTGACAATACCATGTTTAGATAAAACTTGAAATTATTCTTGGTCGTATGAATATGAGTGGACTATACCACCATCACTTATGTTAACCATAATATAGACCATAACTTAACGTATTTACTAAAACACATCACCGAACTATAACGCAACATCTGACTTATCGAATGAACGTTGTAAATCAGTTTGAAGGCGACACATTAACTCGTACGAAAAAATAAAAACTTACTTCGTCAAAAAATGTCTGCGTTTTGCGCAAAATCTGCTTCAGTTCAGACAATTCCAGGTACGTCTTCTTTAGCTTTTCTGCGCTTGAGTTCACTTCTTTCAGCTCGTTCTCTAATTTTTCAAAAATACTTTCTAAGTCGATAATTTCACGTGGGGCCGGAGCTTCTGGATTTTCGCCAGTGTCCAATATGGGAAATTTATCTTTTTCGATTTCCTTCTCCAGGAATCCTAAGTAAATGCACGGATTTAGCGAAAAAATTACTTAGTTTTCGCTCCATTTCATCACATCTTCGAACTTCATTTACAAATTTTCTCTGGAAGGCGTTGGTACCTGGGACGGTCTAATACTATAACACAAAGAGACCACTAGTTACATCTCGAAATTGCACCAGTCCCAACTCCCCTAACTCTGATATGCACATGTAGGCTATGTCTGTGTGCAGAAACATCTGAGACAGTTGCATTTCTTCGCTCCGGAACAACGAACCCATCTTCAGTTACTAGTGAAAACGAAACTAGATTATAAGCGCTCAACCTTGACCTCGACAGGAGTAACAAATTTCCGTAAACTAATGATCTTCGAGATCCTATTTTGTACACATACTGAGTAAACAAATTTAGGAATTTAGCACAATAGCAAGCCTCAATAAATCATTTTTATTACCTACATGCGGATGAGATCAGTGACAGGCAACCCATCGTTTCCTAGTTTCCTTTTATCTCATGTTCATGTCTTTTTTAATTATTTCTATTGCTTCATAAACCAAGTCGTCTAGTGCCCTACTTGACACGCCAAAATACTCATCTCTATTGTCGCGATACATGGCAGTTACAAAGCTTTCTGAATTAATAATAATTGTAACCATTTAGCACCACTCACTAAATCAGAATGTCCCGCAGACTTTGCTGTCGAAGAAGTGATGAAAAAAGTAACATCTTCCAACAATGTGGTTACGTACAGTTGTAGAATTATGGTCTACGCAGTCTTCGTGACTAAACCCTCAAAGATGCCACAAGTATTTTAAGTTTGAAACACCTTAACCAGTAACAGCTTCTGTAATCAAAACGTGCCAAACCAGTCAAATCAAAAGTCAGAAACGAGTAGGTTCGAAGATATATTTTAAAGGATATCGATATGCCGAAAAGTGACAAGTCTAAGCTGGCTAGCGGTTGTAGGAGATGCGAAGCACAACGTCCACACTCGTGATCTGGTACGGATGAGTGACCAAACGCCTTCAGCTAGGTGAATCAACTAAAACTAATGCGATCAGCATCAAATGTCAAAGACTTACAGAGCTATCAATTTCGGGAGTTTATTTACAGCTACGCCCCCTCCCAAAGCTAAGGGATATTTACTATCGAACATAAGGTTTGTTGAACGTAAACTGTCAGGTCACTCGTCTTAGAAAAAGATCAGACAAATCGACATGTCCCATCCTGTTTAAATTTAGCTATTGTGACGATGCCAAATAGCTTGTCAGTTCTAATGAAGTTATTAACTCATTGATTTCATCCAACAGCATGAAAGTCACTTCAGACCTAACGCCTTGTTGACGTCGTGTAGGAGAACGTGAAGCATTAGGATGGCATGGTCATGTTACAGAAAATAACCAGCCAGAGACAAATTCTAATACTGTTAAAAATATCAAATATCTAGAACTAGATGAGTTTACTAACTAGAAATGTTTAAATATGATACATATTTTGACTGATAACATATAATGTAACGATGTTGACGATTCTAGTCCAGACTGTTAGCACAGTAACATACTTGAATATGAGCCATGTGACAACACAACCGACAAAGGATAGTCTGAATAGAATTGAATTCATCCCACAGAACACTACTGAGACACCATGAAATTCTCCAGCTCCTCCCAAGAAGGGTGGATGGAAGAAATCCACGATATCAGATAATGAACAGACAAGGCTCAACCTAACTGCTCCATGGATCTCCCCTACGATATCAAGTGACCTACCATCAAAATCTCTAAGTAGTCAAACTGGTGATAGGCACAAGTTCAATCAACTTTTGAAAACGCAGACTGGGAGTAGTTATAAATGTTCTGGTCACACTGCTCATCCACTAAAGTCTAGGACTATTAATGAACATGGTGATAACAGATCTCTCAACCCACACTCTACCTCTTATCCCCAAGATCACAACCTTAATCACTACAGGAAAGAAATTTTCCACACCCCACAATACCAACCCACTAAATAAAAGTGGCTCCTTAGTACGAAAACGGATAAAATCACTGCCAGCTATGAACAGTAGATCCTCCCCAAGCTAACAACAATCCATACAGTTGTAACCCAATCCACGAGCTTGACTGTCAGGACTACACTGGAGATGTCCTAGCACTGCACGATCATCCTGTACACGATTTTTTGGATACAGCCTCTTGTGGCATCTCTCCTGAGGCACCTAGATCTTATCATTTAAAACCACATAAGAAATACAAACTCACTTCTTCCGTACAACTTTAACTGGACAATAACATCACTCCTTCCTGCTGGGTAAACACTTTAAGCAAATTTAATTGCTCATTTGATATATCCTCTCCAGCCCTTATACTCAACAAAACTGGCCATCAAACAGCAACCGATCTCATGCTTTAAACCTACCTCACGCTCCTGAGGGTTGAAGAGCTACTTCACTGGAGATACACTTGTAGTGGCATTGGACCATAACCACACAATCCTCAAAGCTGAACACGAGACTACTCGGAAAATAAATATTCAATATTTGACGCGGAGAAATACCTGACGATGGAAAAGGTGGGAACAATGTGTTGAATTAATGGGAGTTGACCGGATGGCATGGCCCGGCCATGCAGGTGTGGTCTCTACGGAATCTTACCTTATAACTTTCATTCAAACTGAATATACATTGTTCTTTCTCTAGCCTAAGCTTGCTCTCAACCATGTATCGGTAATTGTCACGATACAGTGAGTTGATGTAGACGATGATGTGACTTCCACGTAATTTCTTATATATTAGGCAGTTATATCATGACAAATCTACAATTTTAGGATTAGGTCTACTATTAGAACAGTACTAATATCATAGAAGATCATAATTCTACACACTCACCTACTTTAATTTAGTTGGCTACTTGTTTAACTGACAGTATGAAAAATGGGTGTCATATAACCTCGGTCTCACATATCTTTAAATAACACCTGAATATATATTGGTTGCTTCGCTACCATTTATATAGATGGTCAACTGCAATGATGTTGTACTTCTTCCACAGAACGATATACAGAACTTATGAACATCTGTATATCCAGGCAACGATATTGTATATCTTTCCCTCGCTTATGCCTCTTACGTTTTGAAACCGCTGACCATTATCACGTGCCACATCATTCGTCGAGATCCCAATTTCAATTTGACCTATTTCGCTCCTACTATCAGCATAAAAGCCAAGTGTTCCCAAATTGACCAGTCGTATGCCCAGTTAGCACTAATGACCCTGAGCCAAAAGACAAGTTCTTGTTGGTTCATTAATTGCGAACCCCACTGTATGCTTTGCGCAGTGTCCGGAAGTGGTAAACAATCTTCGCTATTTAGATTTCATGTAGACATAGATTATTCACGAATATATGGGACCTCGTCGCACCATACAATGAACAAAGCGATTATATATTAGGAAGCTAAAAATTGCTGTGAATGGTGGAAACTCTAAGTAATCAATTGGCAGGATTTCAGGAATGGCAAACTGCATAACTGTCTTTAGTGGGTTAGTAAAACTTTTACGTTAAATGGAATACATATACATAATAATCTAATTAGCCAGTAACTGCATAAAATTTATAGTGAATAATAATTTAAGAAACCAATCACAACATTTACAACACTATCGAACCAGTTCTTAGAAGTAATCTGTTTGTCTGAGGAGTAGGGAACATAACCCACTGATGAGATCAGAATCGACAGATAATCAGGTTGCATTTATATTATATAGCTTTCATATTTATCTATATTTCATTTTTAACGGTACATTGTTTAGGTGGTAACACACGGTGTTAAGTTGGAGGTATGATGCATGCTCTATGTTCCAGTGAATCTAATGATGCTGGGATTGACAAAATAATCTGCGGATTTAAGATGGGTCATCTTGTTGCTGATAGAGGGTGAAATAAAACAAAATAGTAGGAAACTGTGAATAGATAATGAAATCGTATAAAGCACTAGCTAATCCATTGTGTGAAGAGTCACTTTGTTCGGTATTTAATTAGTTGAGATTCAGAGACTGTCTTTCACAATTAAGTGAATGTCCTCGGTAAGAAGATGTGGTAGTCGTCGGAGTGGATAAAGATGTGTAATTTCGAAGTTGTGTAATGATAGTTGAAGCAAATAAGAAGGTGATGTTTCTGAGCAGTGTTCAAAAGGTTTAGTCATAGAACTTTTACAGCCATGTGCGATTTCTAGTGATTGCACCTCATCTCATCTGAGTATGTAGATGTTAGCTTGTTATTGCAGATCTATCGAGCGTTGATAAGACGCATATTAAACAAGTAGCCAACTAAATTAAAGTAGGTGAGTGTGTAGAATTATGATCTTCTATGATATTAGTACTGTTCTAATAGTAGACCTAATCCTAAAATTGTAGATTTGTCATGATATAACTGCCTAATATATAAGAAATTACGTGGAAGTCACATCATCGTCTACATCAACTCACTGTATCGTGACAATTACCGATACATGGTTGAGAGCAAGCTTAGGCTAGAGAAAGAACAATGTATATTCAGTTTGAATGAAAGTTATAAGGTAAGATTCCGTAGAGACCACACCTGCATGGCCGGGCCATGCCATCCGGTCAACTCCCATTAATTCAACACATTGTTCCCACCTTTTCCATCGTCAGGTATTTCTCCGCGTCAAATATTGAATATTTATTTTCCGAGTAGTCTCGTGTTCAGCTTTGAGGATTGTGTGGTTATGGTCCAATGCCACTACAAGTGTATCTCCAGTGAAGTAGCTCTTCAACCCTCAGGAGCGTGAGGTAGGTTTAAAGCATGAGATCGGTTGCTGTTTGATGGCCAGTTTTGTTGAGTATAAGGGCTGGAGAGGATATATCAAATGAGCAATTAAATTTGCTTAAAGTGTTTACCCAGCAGGAAGGAGTGATGTTATTGTCCAGTTAAAGTTGTACGGAAGAAGTGAGTTTGTATTTCTTATGTGGTTTTAAATGATAAGATCTAGGTGCCTCAGGAGAGATGCCACAAGAGGCTGTATCCAAAAAATCGTGTACAGGATGATCGTGCAGTGCTAGGACATCTCCAGTGTAGTCCTGACAGTCAAGCTCGTGGATTGGGTTACAACTGTATGGATTGTTGTTAGCTTGGGGAGGATCTACTGTTCATAGCTGGCAGTGATTTTATCCGTTTTCGTACTAAGGAGCCACTTTTATTTAGTGGGTTGGTATTGTGGGGTGTGGAAAATTTCTTTCCTGTAGTGATTAAGGTTGTGATCTTGGGGATAAGAGGTAGAGTGTGGGTTGAGAGATCTGTTATCACCATGTTCATTAATAGTCCTAGACTTTAGTGGA